AGACTTAGCTTCACATGATCAGACTATGCAAATAGCAAAACTTGAATTAGCAATGGTGCTGCCTTGATGACTTGCTCTTAACTTGAACAAGCCTATCAGTTTTTGCAAAGCCTCCAGCTGTGACTTGCTCTACATCGAATGAGATGACTAAAAGCAAAGCTAACTTTTGCAGGCTTCGCCTTTTCCGTGTGGCTTCCGAAAAAGCTTTAAGGCATAATTAGGAAACTACGTTGAGACTTCCTCCCAAATTTCTTAAGGCCTTCCTCAACAAGATTTAAATAATTTAACCACTATTTTAGATTTATTTATAAATCAATGTCGTGCCAAAGAAAATCTTAAAACTTATTAATTTATATTTAAAATTAACTAGGTTTTCAACTTTGCCACCATCAAATATACATAATTTAAAGACCCTTTGTGCCAAGAAATTCTTACTGAAAGAGTAATGCAAGAAGAGATCACTCCCTCTTAAGCCATTTGATGAAAGAAATGATGCCTGTTAGTGGGGAAAAGCACCAAAATATTAGAGCAAGAGGCAAAAGTAATGAATACATACAAAAACATTTAATTCGCCATATGAACTTGGAAGTGATGGAATATTCTTGAAAATGCTCGCTTTCCTTCACAGGTTCAGTAGTTCTGTCTGTTACTTATTTTCAAAAGCAAAGCTATAACTTTTACTTTATTTTACTTTGAACAAGCACATCACTATATCAGCTTTTTGCAAAGCCTCCAGTTGTGACGTGTGTAGCCCTACTACAAATTATACAATTTTTGTCTGTTCTAGAAGCTCATTTTCATCTGTTTAGAGAGAGACATTGACTGAAAAAATATAGATAGGAGTTATATAGATTCATCTGTTATATAAAAGACAATTATGAGGAAATAACGAATATGCAGTTTCGTACTCGTCTGATCCATAGGAAATACGGTGCGAAAATGAATTTTTTTTATAGTAGTGTAGCATCAGGAAGGAAACCTTCTTCTGATTCTGCAGAAAGAACATCGAAATAATATAAGAAGAGTGGACTATTATAAGCATTGCTGATTGATTGAACAATGAGCCCTTCTGCTTTCCAAAATAAGTACAAAACAACTGAATGCACAGAATCGGGGGATGAGATTGAAACTAACAAAATATAAGATTTAATTTCATTCACATGCTTAACATGGGATATATAAATTGTTGTCTCTTAGAAAATGATGTAGAAATAATATCCATGTATATTGAATGGAGGCTGGGTCCGTTTGTTTTTAATTTTAATTGTAATGTATAACAGTTGAAGAATTAGTTTTTATTTAATTTAGCCCTATAGGCATGGAAGAACACGATAAGAGAAAGATCAATCATAATTAAGCACACACACACATATATATATATAGTTACCTATCCAAGCCACAATCTCAACCAGATAATTAAATTGGCAGCATGAGTGAGAGCCTCCCTTCATTTTTGCAGTTGTTGCTGGGTGATGCTTTTGTGCTCAAGTTCTGCAAATGCTTTCTGATAACTCTCAGATTGCTTTCTCACATGTGAAGGATCTACTCTATAGAACACTGGCATAACAAGGTGGCCTTTATTTTTGGAGCACTCTAAGCTCCTTCAAGCACCACGTGGAAGATGTATTACTAATTGGGGGATATTAAATGCCCTTGCGCACATAATAAAAACATCTCAACTTAAAAGATCAAGATATGGGTGTATAGGAACATTTAATATTTTAATTAAGTCTTCGCATGGGTTTGTTCAAAACCAACAAAATCATATTTCATCCAGTACAAGTTACATCAAGTAACAAATGCATACACTAAATGCGAATGGAACAGACTAGTCCCAGAGAATTAAGATTTGTAACTCTTACTTTCTTCCATCAGCTTATTATGTCTTCATTAACTGATGAGATATTCATCTTTGATATTCGCAAAGCCTTTGCCAGCAACTTCAGTAATTTGATCTGCCACTACGACATAGAAGAGATGAAATTCCAATCCTTAATTATGACGTGGGATTGGGGCGAGGGAACCCCAAGAGTTGCAAAACATTCACAATCATTCTTTCTCCTTTTTTTATCTTTCGAAAAAAATCAAAGTTTAAGTGAGTTAAATTTCAGTTTTCATTAGACTAGTATGCCTTTACTTGGGTTTTGGCATGCACACAATTAGAATAAAATTTAAAATTTTTTAAATTAAACCTTGTGAAAAAATCTTTGGGCTTTGCTTAGCATGCACTAATCATGAAGATTTTCTCAACTGTTCAAGAATACTTGGCTGCTATAAACTGACAATGTTGGACGAAGTAATTTACGTTCCATTTACGTATGTGCCTAATAAAATGAAACTATATATATATATATATATATATATATATATATCCAATATTAGTATGTCTCTAGCCCATTGGAATTAATATAACTAGGTTTTATATAATACAATGAGCAGCCCAATAATGATGCATTTCAAAAGAAGTTATGAATTAAGACGAGAATACTGTGCAAAACAAATTTCTTACTGTATTCACTCAATAATGAAAATTCAAAAGGAAAAAAAAAAATAGAAAGAGTAGTAAACAGCCAAGTATACCCTAACCATTCAAAGGGACAAGTTTGAGAGAAAATTCAAGGATCGATAAGAAAGATATTAAGTTCAATTCATTATTCGATTAAAATTATTTACGTCATAAGGCACGCTTTGTTGCTTCAATAATCGAGTCATGTTGCTATAAAGAAAATGAATTTCAGATATCCACTAGGAGGAAATTCAGCTCAGCGTAAAACCCTTGACGATCTATTACATGCATACATATATAGATATACATTTTGAATAAAAGGAAAAATCAAATGATATTAAGAAGTAATAACATCTACAAAGTTCCAATGAATTGAGGGAAAATAAAAACATCTCTAACACTATTGCATGCATACATACATATATATGGCTACATGATTTGATAATAAAAAATTTGATGTCATTAACGTATTAAAAAGAAAGCAATTCTCAAGGAAAAGAACGCTAGGAATCAATGATGATGACTATTTTATTTTTAATTCTTTAGGAACCGTCAGATCAATTGGACGCTAGTTGACAGCTTTGAAACTCAAAATCATTTCTTCAAAATCAATCTTGTTAGAAAAATTGATCCATAAATCCTTATAGTCTAACTTGAATTTTAATTAGGTCTTGGTAATTTTTTTTATTGGGTCCTTACATTTTTTTCCCATTATAGCCGTTGGTATCTATACTTATAATTTATCAATCTGTAAGAGAAACAACGTCAATAACGAATGATGTCGTCCTCACTCAGCATACACTTGAATTTAATTTGTCACATGAATATAAATAAAACCAAAATCAACCAAATTATAGATTATGTATAAAAATGTAAAGAGACAGCTTTGTGAATAATAATTTCTTATTATGTTAATAATAAATAAATAAATTTCATCTTTTTATTTTGTATTTTGTGGCGATTTACATGTGGTTTAGCCACCATTGATATTCGTTATGAGTTTAGAAACTAATGCTTATAATTGAAAGACTATAAAAATAAAAAATTACAAAGACCTAATTAAAAATCAAGTGAAGTTACATGAACTTACATTTTAATTTTTCGAAGACTTGGAAAGTGGAAACTAAGATTAAAACAAATAAAGAAAACACAGATTTATGTTTAAGACTGGAAGAGAGTAGTCAAATATCACTCTATATAGCTTATCATTTATTGAAGAAAATGTATTGTCGTAACTTGTAATCCAAAGAAAATGTATAATTGTTTTGGTCGTCTTCTTGAAGGAACAAATGAAATTGAAGTGAGGGAATACTTCTGAAAATGCATGATTGCTTTACAGGTTCAGTTAGTCTCTCCCTCTTTGCTTAGTCCCATTTCGTTTTATTATGATGCATGTGCATGGTATCAAATGTTAATTTTTACCGTCCAATATTAAATCCCAGCTATCAAATGTTAACCACAATCAAATTGCCTGAAGCAAACTCATGCGTTAAGGGTGGGATGTGACCTAGCATATGGGTAGAATTTAAATAGTTTAAATTAAACTATATTGACACACACACACACACACACACTAATATATATGTATGTATGTGTGTGTGTTTGTGTGTGTGTGTAAAGGTTATTTATCCCAAATGAGTTCAATAATAATCAAATCTGACTCGATGCTCCATAGTACTAAACATCAAAGGAATGCATAAAAAAAAAAAATTATACCAACGGCAACATTCCCTTTTTAAGGATTTTAATATATTGATAGGTTAAAAAAATTTTATGTTTTGCAGTTCTTCCTTATCATCATCATCATCAATTTTACACAATCATATCTAAATATCTATCTTACTATATTTTAATGTATGGTAGTTCTGGTAGCATTTCATTGTTGCTTTAAATTTCTTTCTTTATCGGAATTTTATTCATTTAATGGGAAAATTGCAATGAGGTCCCAAGTAAGGAAAATAATTAAAAAACAAGTCTTAAAGGTTGTTATTTCCACTGTAGGACTTGTCATTATAGGGTGCTCAAATTGTTATTTGGACTTTTTAATAATTATTTCTCTTCTATGGGACTTTAATAATTATTTCTCTTCTATGGGACTTGATTATAATTCTCCCTCATTTAATTTGGATCCCATGAACCATGCTGATTTTTTCATATAGCAGACGCTAAGATTTTGGGGTATTTTTAATTAAATGCAACTTTGAGGATTCGCAAATATTTTCAAAACTGTGGTAATACTTTTTTTTTTTTTTTTCTTCAGAGCAAGATGATCGGATGACTTGAACCAGATCCAACTTTTTAGGCTCCTGATTATGAGTTTACGACTTTAATGGATGCAGCCTTATGAATATATATATATATATATATATATATTTATAGATGAAATGAAAATCATGCAGCCATCAGTGATAAGCATTGAAAAAGAATAAGTTAAGAGGATGTTGGTGTTCAAAATCGAACCTGTGGGTTCTTCTTCTCATATTCTTCAGATGCTTTAATTTCTAGTGATTATATTTCCAGACTGCTTCTTTGCAGGCCGATTGCACTTTTGAGAGGCCGATTGCGTTGCATTAGAGCTACGATGCGGATGCAATAATGCCAATTGAATTTGTTTGATGTAATTTTGATATTCAACGGCAGATGTCGGGCACACCCCACACTCTTTGATCACTACTGTTGTTTCATCATCATAAGGCGAAAGGGCTGTGAATTCAAATTGAAGCAATAATGGATGATAGGTAGTGTTGCTTTGAGCTTCTCTTTTCTTTTCTTCAATTGTCCTTTGTACCTTTTTCCATGACTTTGCATCGTACCAAAGACAAACATGTGACAACAGAGACACATGAAAAGACTCGCCTGGAGACATGTAAGCATATTGTCCATCAATAAACAATTTGGCACCAATTGTAGTCCGCGATGGTGAGCCATAAATCACGGCACAACAAATAAAGGCGCCATCCCAAGGTTGTGGAATCGAGCTGAGATCCACAGTCACCAAAGACTGTGTAGTCCTATACATGACCCACTCCGCAACTCTTCCTCCCGGAAATTCCATTTGAGCCCGGTAATGAATGTCTTTGTTATTATTCATGTAAAGTAGCACTTTGGCCTCAACAGCTTTGATTGACTGCCCATCCAACTTCATGCAACTTCTGAAACTGAAGTTATCATAAAAATAATTTTTTCCTTCTATCTCTTCACTCATTAAAGGTGAATGTAAAGTCTCAAGGGACCAGCAGCCATTGGCTTCCAGTGTACAGATAGAGGGAGGGAGTTGTGGTAGGGACAGAAGCCTTTTGCATCCATCTAAGGTGAGACATTGCAGGCTTGAAAGATGTTTGATGCTTAAAGGCAAGGTCTCTATATTACTCCTCGAGAGATCTAACTGACTTAATGACGACAACAAGCTGATGTTGTCAGGAACTTCAAATAATTCACTACAACCCCTCAGCACTAGAGCTTCCAAAGCACGCATCTCATCAAATATGGAACGTAGATTTGATGCTAGCTTATTACAATAATCAGCATGAAGGCGTTGGAGGGTGTGCTTGTCAACCAATTTGTGAAGACTTGTCACCCCTTCGCATCTTTCTAGGTCCAAAAAATAAATTTTGCTGAGACATCCGCTTGATGAGGACAACTCACCATTGATGGCTGTTCCACAAAGCATCAATTCAAACAAATTATATTCTGAGGTCACTGAAAATTCGCGTAGTCCTGAGCATCCCGTCAAGTCGAGCATACTTAGTGATTTGAGATGGGTGTTGCTCGTAAGGTTGGTAAGGGCTTTGCAACCACTTAGCAATAATCCACAAAGGCTATGGAGAGATAAAATAGAGGGATGAACATTCAGCAATTTTGAACAACCCTGAAGATAAACTTCTGCAAGATGTATGGCCTTGGAAAAATTTGGGAGCTCAGTCAAGTCTTTTGATTCATGAAGATCAATTTTGGTTAAATTCACAAGATTCTGTAAAAAAAATAAAATAAATAAATTACACGGTAAGATTGGTGGCAAAAATAAAATAATTACACTCTCTTATCTTTTTTTTTTTTTAATAAGACCTTGTTAGCAATTTTATTTACAAAATTAGCAATGTCAAAAAGTATCACAAATTTTTTAAAATTATACTTAGCCAATAATCTATATAAATATTAGTGTGATGATGAAAGGGAAATGCATTTTCTAGAATGGGTTGTCAATCTTTTATTAAATTTTCTAAGAGATTTTAAGGACCAATAGGTAAAAATTTATAAATGATACTGAAGAGAGGGTGCATATATAATAAAATTTTTCCAACTAGTGTATTAATAATATTTTATAAGAGAAAAAAGTAGAAAATGTACCTGCTCTCCATCCCAGAGTTTTGTCAAATTGCTGTTGGGCATTTTTATTTCAACAAGATTTTCTCCATTGAATGTTGTTGGCAAGGACTTTAAAGGGCATCCCACCCAATCTAATAGCATGAGATTTCTTGGCAAAAGCTTCATACTAGAAGCATTTAACTTGTTGCTAAGCTGACCATTCAAATTTCCATAAAACCTAAGAAATTTCAGATTGGGCATTGAACGAAAGGCTTTAATAATTACATCCATCTCTTCAACTTCTGAAAGGTTCATAATCATGCCTTCAATACTTCCCTAGCAAACAAAAAAATACTAATAGTAATAAAAATATTATCTGAATCAAATAGGAATTTGGAATTTAACAATCTTTTAATTAAAAAAAAGTAAAAATTTCATTCTTACCATTCTTTTCTTCAATATCGCAGAACCTTTCTTGAAAATCCAAAATATCTTGCACCATGTAGGATATTTTAATGATTCTTCCCGAACAATTTGTTTACCCATTTCTTTTATCAGATTGTGCATACATATTCTTCCTCTATAAACAATATCTAAAAGAGCTTTATCTTCAAGACTTGTCAATCCAATCTCCGTTGAATAACCGCATCCATCTAACAATTTTTTTACGTGCTTGACATGTACATCATAATAATTGAAAAAACATGTGATATGCAAGAAAATATTTTTCTCTTCCTCATCAAGTCCTTCAAAACTCAATTTGAGGATATCGTTAACTTTTAAACAAGGTAATTTTTGAAGCTTTACCAGTTGGCTTTCCCATGCTTCTTGATTTTTGCCATGCAAGAAGGAGCCTAAAACCTTTAGGGCCAATGGATTTCCACCTGCATATTCAGTCACTTTTTCTGCTAGCACCCTTATCTTTGGGTCAACATAGCCTTTTTTGAAGGCATTCAAGGCGAAAAGTTGAAAAGCTTCATCAGGATTCAAACACTGAAGCACATATATATCATCCACTTCATTACCAAGTATTTGCTTATCTCTGGTTGTTATCAAAATTTTACTACCTGATCCAAATTCAAGTCCTCGAACTAGATTTTCTATTTGCTCAAGATCATCAACATCCAAGCACAATGAAAACTTTTTTCCTACCAAGCCTACTTATGGTACAAGGATATATTGCATTGCCAATGTGGGATTCTTTATCCCCTAATAACCTCCAAACAATTTTTTCCCTCAAAGCATCTATTCCATGTTTCTTTGATTCTTCCCTTACATTAGCCAAAAAGCAAGACTGCATATGTAAAATGCAATTTTTTAAACAATGCTTTTGCAAGAGTTGTTTGCCCAAACCGCCCATGCCCCAAATTCCAATGAATTGGCAGCCACCGTT